GAAGAAAAAATATTTCAAAGAGGATTTGATGATGTTAGGCAGTCAATAAATATTTAGTAAAATGTTGAAACTGTTTTACTTCAATGTGAATGAGAGAGTTGGGGAATTCTCATGGCAGGGAAATATTGTGGTCATATGAGAACACATTGAGTGCTTGTGGGCACAATAAAGGAAGGAGGTGGTAACCCAATTGGGGAGAAAAAAAGTTACAGAGTGTGTTATGTTAATGAAGGCTTTCAAACAAAAACAAGTCTTTTTAAATCTCAAATTAAAGGAGTTTGAGAATAACATCCAAGCAGACAGAGCGGTATAATTAAAGGCATGGAGGATGGAGAGAGCATTAAGGAACTGAGAACAAGTGAAGCATCATGTTCAAGATTTCTAGGAAAGAAGTTGTATCTAGGAAGTGAATCAGAAAGAGCCTATTAAACCTTCTAATGCTCCATCTCGTCTACCATTTCAATTTCCACTTTTCTTTTTTATTATTTATCTGTACCTACAAAGAGATGAGAGCTATATAGAGATATGAATGTAGATCAATATAGATGTAGATAATAAGTCATTCATTAGTAGGTATAGCCTACATACTATACATAATCTACATCTGTACACATTCTATTTTTATGATGTTTATTATCTTTATCTAGTAGAATATAAGCCTCATAAGGGCATAGACTCCTTTTAGTTTGTTTTACTACTCTACGCCTATAAAATAGAAGAATTCCTATTATATAGAGGGTACTCAATAAATTTTTAATGAATAAATGGATGACTAACTAAGTAAGTGAATAAATACAATTAGAGAGAATTTTTACTTTACTCAGACAACAGAGCCAGTGAAGGTATTTTCTTCTAGCTTATCTCTGAGTCAGTTCCTGAACTATCCTCCTCCATCAGTTGTGTGGATACTAATGCACACCCTGAACCATAACCTCTATGTTAAGATTGTCTATTAAAAAAAAAAAATTGGTGGCAATCCTTCCTTTGTTGATGGACTGGTTAGTTTTCGCTTTTGAGCACCTCTTATCATTTGCATTATTCCTGCAGATCTATCTGTTCCCAGTTCACACTTTCTCCATGTCAGGCTCATGTGGCACTAACTTACTGTTGTTAAAACAGTCCTGAACAATCAGTGACACAAACTAAATCTATGATCACCAGGATTTCAGGTCTGAGACGCCATCTGCTTTGTTTAACACTGTACCTCTAGTGCCTAGCCCAAGACCCAGGCAAGAGATGTGCTCAATAAACGCCTGATGAATAAATGAGTAAATGAACGAACATTTGCTGATCTATTTTACTATGCAAAAGACAGGAATTAATAAAAATCACTGAAAGGCTTATCACAAGTTTGATTTTCCTTGGACGGACAGGCCTAAATGATTGTTTTGAATTATTAATTTCTTAATTATAAATATATTATCTGATGTTAAATTTCATATAATTTTAATGAATTACAAAGTTTTACATTATGAACATTGATTGATTTTCAAAATTTTATTTTTATAAATATCAGTCAACCAGAAATAATAGTGATTGATTTTCTAAAAGATGATTTAAAAAAGATTTTTTTCTTTGGTAAAACTAGAGTGGAGATTTAGAAGAAATTGAAACATTAGATTTACATTCTTCAGAACATAGTTTTAAATTTATAATACTATATTTTTAGTTTTACCAGTTTATATAGCTTTAGCTCCATTAAACTTAAAGCTGCATTTAGAGTTATCTAGCAGATTTTTACCTTTAAGTATGCTAATGTGGAACTACTTTTTCAATGATCTAGTATTTTTTAACATTAATACTACTAATACTAGAGGTATTTTGGCATTATCCTATAGTTTTGAGATTATGACCTCCCTTGAAAATATCTGATAACTGCCGTTTAAAAATGTTTATGATTCTGCCATTGAGCATTTTATTTCAGATGCTCAATTCATAGATCCATTCATAGACTCATTCATGGAACACTTAGGTGACTATTTTTCCATTATTTCTGAAAGCATACAACTTAACACTTTTTCTCTTACTTTTGACAATTCTTTAAATTTAATGTTAAAGAAAATTCTCAATTGTGATGGTATGACTGTGGAATAAGCACAAAATCTGCATAAAAAAATATTTGCCTCCAATTTGATCAATTTTGTAAGTTCACTTTTGTGTCAATTCAAAATTTGATTTGCAGTGTTATCACTTCTAGTTAATGTGCCTTTTCCAATAAGTATTGAAGATTTCATAATAAGATATGTGATAGATTTTGCTGTAATATGACTGACTTTGTAGGGGCTTAAATATACGTTATTTCCTGTTTTCTGAAGAAAAATTTGTGGAACAAAATTCTCAGTGACTCAAATTTGGGCATATGCATTTACTTATATTGATAATCACAGGTCACACTACACATTGTAGGCACTCAGGAAACATTTTCTTTACTCAGAAACCATTTCAAGGATATTATGCAGTTCACAAATGTGTATGCGTCTCTATTTGTATTTATATACACACACATGCTTAAAATGTCACTTGGAAAAATCGACTTGGGATGTGTGTCCTGCATACATCATCTTCATTTTAAATTTCTATAATTATTTTGAGGTATAAAATATATCTGGTTATAGCCTGAGGGAAACTCACACAGTGCCTGCCCTCTCACTGGGGCACATCTTTCCCCAAATGACAGGCAGATCTGTCACAGAGTGTGGTGATTTATCTCCTCTGATTTCATCCCGTAAAGACGCCCTATACAAGGTGAAGTGATAATTTTCCTCAGAGTTAACATGTCCGATGTCTCATTTATCATTCTAGTCCTTGTGAAATGACATCGAACATTAAATTGAGAACTAATTTTGGTTGTGAAGTTTGGCTGCCTGCCTGCTTCTCTGAGAAAACAAGCAAATTATCTGTACTTTTTGTCACGGAAGTCATACGTCACCTGGAGCCGTCCTTTCTTTCTTTTAACCCATGTTGAGAAGCAACAGAAAAGAATACATGAAAGACACTATAACAAAATAATACATTTTGCCAGAAAAAGTTATCAAAATTATGCAAAATGTTTAATTTGTGGGAGGGGGGGGAAACAGTGGACAAGTCAGGGGAGATCCTAGAGGAAGCCTGAAAGTATGTATGGTGGTCTTAACTCAAAAATATGCAATTAATTCCCTATAACTTTTGATATAGAAAGAATGCAATTCTACAATTTTCTGAAAGTAAAATTTCTACAAATCAACATATTATTTTCATACAGCAAGAAACTTGTTTGTAAGTACTTGCCTGAAGTTGGAGCACAATTTTATAATTTGTTTTCTAAATGAACTTATTCACGCATATAATCAAGACATTCAACTGGATCGTGTGGTTGGGTTGAGAAAACATCTATCTGCTGAACTTTTAATTTTACCTTACATAATTAAGAATTTTCCCTGAAATAAAACTGATCATAGACTGTAATGTATCAGATAAGTCTCACTGTTGTGATAAACTTAGACATAGGGAATCTATATACATTTAACAAGTCACATAAAAATAAGTTAAGAATAGAGGAAGGTTGTGCTTTTTAAAGAATATGATTATTTTATAAAGATAGATATACTAAGGGTATATGCACATAGTTGAATTGAATGTAAATTTATTCACTCACTTCCTGTTTGCCTAAAGAATACTCTTGTCTCTAATCCTAAAGTATTATCTGTTAGAGAAATGTATGCCATGCTGCATTCTGTGATGGAATATGATGTTGTATTCTGTAACAGAGATGTATGTGATGTTACATTAGGATTAGGGATAGGAGTATTCTGTAACAGGAATGTATATAATGTTACATTAGAATTAGAGACAAGTTCTGCTTAGAAATAACTCCAATAACAGTTTCATATTTTATTTTCACAGTGAAAAATCAGTCAGATTTGCTTAAGCCTCAAAATGGAGTTATGTAAAATTAAATGAACGTTGGCAGCAAGTTGCATTTTTTTTTCTCAATGGAAAATGGGTTAAATAAATATTGTCTATAAATTCTGCAAGTCACTCCTGTGAGCCCTGACATTATGAAGCTTATAACCTAAATAATCTACCTACTGATAAAAATGAATATAGAAAAAAGTATAGTAATAAATAATGTCTATTGAAAGCTTGCTATTGTCTGGTATTAAATACAATCAATGCTTTACATGAATTATTTTATTTATTCCTTTCACCCTCTCTTTGAAGTAGAAACTGTCATTTGTATCATTTTATGGTAGAGGAAAATAAATCATAAAAAAGAAAAATAATTTTCACAAAGTCTTTACAACTAGTAAGTGATGGAGTCAGAATGCAAACCTGTCTCGAGCATGCATTTAGTAATCTTAGACTAATAAAATGCAAAATATGTTAAGTACTTATAAGCATCTAGTAGCGCAAAAGAGAATAGAGATACTTCTAGAGAGGGATAGAAGAAAAAGTGGCATTTCAGCTGCAATTTAAGGAGGTAAAATTTCTTCAAGCTGGAATATGAAAAAAGAAAGTTACTTCAAGAGAATATAACTCTGAACAAAGGCAAGTAAAGAGGAAAGGTCTTACTTTTCGTAATAACAAGTTTTCTAGACTGTCTGGAGCATAAGATTCAGGCAAAGTATTTGAAGGGAATTAAGCCTGGAAAAAAAAAAAATGTTTGCCATAGGATTCTGAATTTCAAATTCCGTGCCCAAACTGAGTTACAAAAATAGGAAGACTACTATGCAAGTATAGCAAGTCCTCAAACATTATACTCAAATATTGATGCCTCATAAAGTTGATTCAATAAAAATCACTTTGCAGCCAAGGCCCCTGTCTGTGAAGAGTTTGTATATTTTGCCTGTGTATGTGTGAGTTTTCTCTGGGTGCTCTGGTTTTCTCCCACATTCTAAAGATGTGGTTAGTTGGCCTGGCTGAATGGGTGAGTGAATGAGTAACCTGAGTGTGTGGGAGTATGTCTGTAAGTGTACCCTGCAATGGAATGTAGCCTCTCCAGGGTGCGTTCCAACAGTGTACTCTGAGCTTCCTTGATGGGCTCCTGCCACCGCAAACCTGAACTGGAATAAGAAGGTAAGTAATTATCTTGTTTTTATTAATCTTTCTTAAATGTATGTAAAGCTCACATTTTTTCAATGTTTAATACTAGAAGTGCTTTGTTCTTCATTTAGCAGTTTTGCAATGATTTTATGACCAGAAACATGCCACAGGAATTAAACTCTTGTTTATATCAATTAGCCTATGGTAAAACTGGTTTTCTTATACATAATTTCACTTAAAGCTGCAGTTTCCAAAAACCTATCAATAATGTTAAATAAGCACTTACTATATACTTGTATATGTTAGTAATGCATTTCAAATTGTGGGAAAATGAGCAATTACCTTGTATAAATTTCTGGAAAAGTAATTAATTATATGGGAAAATAATTTATATTTATATTTTTCGTAATTGCTAAATTATGTTAAAATTGAATTAAAGCACTAGACGCAGTTGGTAGATGGTTTTTCAAGTGTATTGGTAATGTCTTATATTCTAGTTCATATTTCTCCCTCCTCAAGATGATTGTGGTAGATTGAATACTAGTCCCAAAAGATATCCAGGTTATAATTCCTGGAACCTGTCAAAATCACTATATATGGTAGCTAGTACTTGCATATGTGATTATGTTAAGGATCTTGGCATAGGTAGATCATTCTGAATTATCAGGGTGGGTCCTAAGTGGAATCACTGTCCTTGTAAGAGGAAGGCAGAGGGAGATTTGAAGACTGAAGAGGAAAAATCCATATATGTAACATAGTTTGGGAGCCATGAGCCAAGAAATGAAGACAGCTTCCTGAAACTGAAAAAGTCAAGGAAACAGATTTTCTTTTAGACCCTCCAGAGTGAGCTCTGTGGTGCTGAAAACCTGATTTCAATGAGGTAAACCTTATCATAAACTTCTGGCATCTAGATCCACAAAAGAATAAATTGGTGGTGTTTTAATCCAAAGAATTCCTTATAATTTGTTAAAGCAGTTACAGAAACCAATGCAATGATATTTACAGAGGTCTACATCATACCATTATAAAGTTCCATGTATACGGAATATTTATAAGTAAGTATATATTAATAAAAAGTAATAAAATATAGATGGCTATGTTTTGCTGATTGAAGAATGAGGAAACCCCAAAGAGATGTAAAATTAATCAATGCAACTACTGGATAAATTTACCTGCACAAAAATTAAGTATTTACATATTTTAATAACAATAAAATTAAATATAAACAAAGCCAAAACTGCAATAAATATTGATACTCTATTTAATAAGTGTGAACATGTGGTATTTGCCTTTCTGTTTCTGCATTATTTTGCTAAGAATAATGGCCTTCAGGCACATCCTTGTTGGTGCAAAGGACATAATCTTACTCTTTTTTTAATGGCCACATAGTATTTCACGGAGTATATATGCCACATTTTCTTCATCCCATCTATATAGGGGCATTTAAGTTGATTCTACGTCTTAGCTATTCTTAATAGTGCTGCAATGAACCTACATGTACATGTGTCTTTATGACAGAATTATTTACATTCCTTTGGGTTTATACCCAGTAATGAGATTGCTGGGTCAAATGGTATTTCTGCCTGTTGATGGGAGTGTAAATTAGTTCAACCATTGTGGAAGACAGTGTGGTGATTCCTTAAAACCTAGAGGCAGAAATAAATGTGTCACAGAGATTCTGGTACGTTGTGACTTTGTTCTCATTGGTTTTCAAAGAACATCTTTATTTCTGCCTTAATTTCGTTATTTACCCAGTAGTCATTCAGGAGCAGGTTTTTCAGTTTCCATGTAGTTGTGCGATTTTGAGTGAGTTTCTTAATCCTGAGTTCTAATTTGATTGCACTGTGGCCTGAGAGACTGTTTGTTACGATTTCCGGTCTTTTTCATTTGCTGAGGAGTGTTTTATTTCCAATTACGTGGTCAATTTTAGAATAAGTGTGATGTGGTGCTGAGAATAATGTATATTCTGTTGATCTGGGGTAGACAGTTCTGTAGATGTCTATTAGGTCCACTTGGTCCAGAGCTGAGTTCAGGTCCTAGATATCCTTGTTAATTTTCTGTCTTGTTGATCTGTCTAATATTGATAATGGGGTGTTAAAGTCTCCCCCCAACAGTGTAAACGTTCCCCTTTTTCTCTACAACCTCACCGGCATCTGCTGTTTTTTTGACTTTTTAGTAATAGCCATTCTGACTGGCATGAGATGGTATCTAAATTGCTTTGGGCAGTATGGCGATGTTAATGATGTTCATGATTTCTATTCATGAGCATGGAATAATTTTCTATTTGTTTGTGTCATTTCTAATTTTTTTGAGCAGTGTTTTGTAGTTCTCCTTGTAGAGATCTTTCACCTATTTGGTTAGCAGTATTTCTAGATTTTTTTTTTTTTTTGTGGCAATTGTGAATGGAATTGCATTTCTGATTTGACTGTCATTGATGTATAGGAATGCTAGTAATATTTGTGCATTAATTTTGTATCCTGAAACTTTGCTTTAGTTGTTTAATAACCTGAAGGAGATTTTGAGCTGAGACTATGGGGTTTTTTAGATATGGAATCATGTTGTCTGCAAACAGGGATGGTTTGACTTCTTCTTTTTCTATTTGGAAGCTGTTTCTTTCTTTCTCTTACTGATTGCTCTAGCCAGAACTTCCAATACTATGCTGAATAGGAGTGGTGAGAGAAGGAATCTTTGTCTTGTGGTGGTTTTCAAGGGGAATGCTTCCAGTTTTTGCCCATTCAGTATGATGTTGACCGAGGGTTTGTCATAGATGGTCCTTATGATTTGGAGTTATGTTCCTTCAATGTCTTGTTTATTGAGAGTTTTTAATATAAAGGAGTTTTGAATGTTATCAAAATGTTATAATCATGTGGTTTTAATATTCAGTTCTGTTTATGTGATAAATTATGTTTATTTTTATGTGAATGTTGAACCAACCTTGCATTCCAGAGAAAAAGCCTGCTTGATCGCAGGTGATAAGCTTTCTGATGACCTGCTGTATTTGGTTTGTCAATATTGAGGATTTTTGCATTGACTTCTATCAAGGATGATGGTTTAAACTTTTATTTTGTGTGTGTGTCTCTGCCAAGTTTTGCTATCAGGATTATGCTGGACTCATAGAATGAGTTAGGGAGGAGTACCACCTCCTCATTTTTTTGGAATAGTTTAAGCAGGAATGGTATCAATTCTTCTTTGCACATCTGGTAGAATTCAGTTGTGAATTCATCTGGTCCTGGGCTTTTTTTTTTTTTTTTTTTTTTTTTTTTAATTGGTAGGATATTTATTACTAGTTCAGTTTCAGAGCTCATTATTGGCCTGTTCAGCGATTCAATTTCTTCCTGGCTGAGGGATCAATTTCTTCCTGGCTCAGTTTATTCTTTGGCAGGGAATAAATGTCCAGGAATTTTTGCATTTATTCTAGATTTTCTAGTTTATGTGCATGGAGGTGACCATCATATTCTCTGGTGGTTCATTGTATTTGTGGGGTCAGTGGGAATATCCCCTTTTTCATTTCTAATTGTGTTTATGTGAATCTTCCCTCTTTTCTTCTTTATTAATCTAGCTAGCAGCCTATTTTATTATTTTTAAAAATCAACTCCTGTATTCATTGATATTTTTAATGGTTTGTGTGTGGGGGTGGGGGGCAGGGTCTTAATACCCTTCAATTCAGCTCTGATTTTGGTTATTTATTGTCTTCTGCTAGCTTGGGTTTGGTTTTATCTTGGTTTTCTAGTTCTTTTAGTTGTGATGTTATGTTCTTATATAGAGATTTTTAAAATATTTGTATATGGTCATTTAGTGGTGTAAATTTCCCCCTGCACACTGCCTTAGCTACATCCCACAGATTCTGGTATGTTGTATATTTGTTCCCATTGATATCAAAGAAATTCTTGATTTCTGCCTTAATTACATAATTTATCCAAAAGTCATTCAGGAGCAGAATATTTGATTTTCCATGTAATTGTATGGCTTTGACTGAATTTCTTTGTCTTGATTTCTAATTTGTGCTATGGTATGAGAGATTGGTTGTTATGATTTCAGTTCTTTTGCATTTGCAGAGAAGTGTTTTATGTTTGATTATGTGATCAGTTTCAGAGTATGTGCCATGTGACAATGAGAAGAATGCATATTCTGTTATTTTTGGGTGGAGAGTTCTGTAGATCTCTATCAGATCCATTTGATCCAATGCTGAGTTCAGGTCCTAAATATCTTTGTTGATTTTCTGCCTCAATAATTTGTCAATTATTGTCAGTTGGGTGTTAAAATCTCCCACTATTATTGTGTACGTGTTGAAGTCTCTTTGAAGGTCTCTAAGAACTTGCTTTATGAATCTGGGAGGTCTTGTGTTGGGTGCATATATATTTTGGATAGCTAGGTCTTCTTGTTGAATTGAATCCTTTATCATTATGTAATGCTGGTTTTTTTTTTTTTTTTGTCTTTTGATCTTAGTTGCTTTAAAGTCTATTTTGTAAGAAATTAGCATTGCAATCCCTGCTTTTTTCTGCTTTCCAATTACCTAGTAGATTTTTCTTTATCCCCTTATTTTGGACCTATAGGTTTCATTGCATGTGAGATGGGTCTCTTGAAGACTGCATATCAAGGGTTTTAGTTTTTTACTTAGCTTGCCACTCTGTGCCTTTTAATTGGAGTATTAATCCATTAACACTCAAGGTTAGCATTGATATGTGTGTGTTTGATGCTGTCATCATGATGTTAGCTGTTCATTAAGCAGACTTGTTTGTGTGGTTGCTTTATAGTGTCACTGATCTATGCACTTAAGTTTGGTTTTGTAGTGGCTAGTAATATAGTCTTTCCTTTTCGTATTTAATGCTTTCTTTGAGAACTCTTGTAAGGGTAGTCTGGTGGTAACAAATTCCCTTAGCCTGTGCTTGTCTGAAAAGGATCTTATTTCTCCTTTGCTTATGAAGATTACTTTGGCCAGATATGAAATCCTGGGTTGGAATTTATTTTCCTTAAGAATGTTGAATATTGGTACCAATCTCTTCTGGTTTATAGGATTTCTGCTGAGAGGCCCA